ACCTACCTACCTACCTACCTACCTACCTACCTACCTACCTACCTACCTACCTACCTACCTACCTACTTACTTACATACCTATCTACTTACATACTGACATAGATACAGACCTTTTAGTGCCTATTTTATTGCGTTGTACTTGACTATAGGGAATAGGTAGTAGTTGAGTACAGAATGATCTTTATTAAATGATAATTTTCTTTTTCTAACTTAAAGAAATTGCTTTTCTTTCGCATTTACTTGTGCTGACTTGTGAATAAAACTGTGATTTTTTTGACCATGCAGATGATTTGGAGCACTATTCTTTTTGAACCTATACTGGTATTATGCTTTTTCTTTAGAATAATTTTCTGATTACTTTTTGAACCAAAGCTATCTCTATATAAAAATAAAGGGTATTCCAGGATTACGTTTTGAAAAAGGCAGTAATTTCTATGAGCACGTGAGCTTGGGTACCTGATATGCCTCTGAACCAACTTCCCTGCCCCTAGTTTCCCAACTTTCTTGTTAATAATGCCGAGCATTGTTAAGCCAGACAAGCCTTTTTGATGCCAATTTATATAAGACACTTGCGAACCCATGCTTTTCTCTTCTCTTAACTCGAATATCAGAATAGAGAAGAGTTCACTTTTGCTAGAATCCGAATAGATTCTGTGTCCTTTACTCTTTTTGTAAATAGTGGGAAATTTTATCGTAAAACTGGATTAAGGAATTTTGCTCAAGCCTAACCTCGAGCAAATTGTTTTCCTCAGTTGCCAACATAATGACAATAATTCAACTGGTGAGTTTACGTTTTTTTACATTTCACTCAGTTGTTTTACCAACTAGAGGCATCTACAAAATCTAACGATACTTTCAGCATTTCTTATTTTAGTCTGATCCGATTAACTCTCAAAGTTTAATTATTCAAGAGAAAGGTCTTTATAATAATGCATTACTTACCGCCTGTTGTCAGATTGTCGAGTTTTTTAAATTCAAGTCTGAAATTCAAATAAACGACTGTTTTTACTCTCAAGACTTAAAGTAAAATTGGGATTTATTAAACTCTTCAATGTAATGTTGGCAATCTCCACCTGAATTTTATCTTATAAAAGGGCCATAGTGATAGCATTTTGTTGGAAGTTGCTATTGCATAATTCTATCAGATATTTAAAACCTTGTACTTTTCATTTTCCTGTGGAATGGATTGAATGCCTAAATTTACTTGTGATTGTGTATTTGGATTTAGCGACTCTCGGTACATTGCATTTTCACCCACTTTCCTTTCAGTTCCACCAAGACAAATTTGTCCAGAGCCAAAAAACGCTGTTAAAAAAACAAATAAAAAATTTTGTCATCACACACAGTTGAAAATTAACTCACAACTAAGCCTTCCTCATCTAAATGATGCACACCCCAAGTGGAAATTGGGCTGATAACAGACTGTAGAATAGGCGCCTTTGAGTCTTGAGTTGACATGTGCACGTCGAAGGTCGCTCCTCACCTCCTCCTACAACAGGCCACAGTGGGTTTGCATGAATGTGCCGACCAGGCATCTGGCTTCTTTTGATCCAGTGCCTTGTGAAACAATGGTTGCAATGACACTGTTTCTTGTCATATCTCCTCTA